CGGGGGGGGTGGGGGGCTGGGGCACCCTCTCACTCCCTGCGCTTTTGCCTTCGCGGGTTTTGCCGCGGTTTTGCCGCTTTAGGAAGGGTCCCCCGGCGCGATCCTCCGCTCCGCAGCCCTTCGCCTCTGTGCTTCCACCTGTACACACGCATACACATACCATGCAATACACATGGAACAACAGAGTGAGATTTGAAGAAGCAATATGCAAGAAAGTGTAACATGCGGACTAGTGCTCCAAGAACAAATGGCTGGTCAATTATTGCCTAGTCAGATGCAATCAGCAGCGCACAGAATTAGCAAAATGCTTTTGCATACCTGTAGTGTCTTCTGATTCTTACTGAAATGATTTGTCTTTCTGATACCTTTGGTCAAATCAAGGGCGTATAGTCTTCCCAGCATGCACTGATTACTGTTTGTACAAAAGACTGTGCCAAGTGCAGTCACTGATTAATGAAGTGGACTGACAATAATTTGTGATATATTTAGAACAAGTCTGAGATGCATTTTATTCATGGTAAATGAGATCTCCCCACAGGAAAAAAAGCAAATTTGTTTAGATATCAGAAAAGTATTTTAATTTCTCTCGTATTCGGTATATATATATAAAACATATATATATTTGTGTATATATACACGTTTGTTGTTCCACTATGATGATGTAAAGTACTTCAGAAACACGTTTCCCATGTTAATTTCAAACCATATTAAATAAAAATACTAGACAACCATTTTAATCTGGAGTTCATATTTTCATCAACCTAGAGCCTATAGTTTGTTCTGAAAGCAAGTTCTCATACAGAGCCAGTTTATGAGATTTGAATTGCTTGTTTCAAGTCATCTGATAAGCTTATGAACTAGCTACATAGTGAAGGGGAATAAAAGGATTTTTAAATACAGAGGTATAATGAATCATGCCTATTTATTAGTCATCCTAATGAATACCTGCAAATTATTCTGCAATAAAGTTATTTTAACAAATTGGAGAACACAGACATATGTCAGTTACTGGGACAATTGCACAGTTTACTGTCAAGCAATTCTGGTAATTATTTAAATTGGTGATTAGATATCACATCAGCTGAGATATTTTAGAATTCCTTGAACTTCCAGTATGGAAATTTACTGTGTATAATTACATTACTGAGAAATATCCATACAGTAAATGAATATGCAGATCTCTATTTAGCAACCATAATGCATCTATATTTACTAGCTCATCTGTTTACACATGTCCATGCTGTTTGCAGAAGGCCATTAGCTCTAATTTTCAACTTGTTTTCTAGCAAAAAAGTCAAATTTACAAGAAAGGAGCGAGATTGAACTGCTAAAAAAAATAGCAGGATTAAAGGAGTTTTTTAGGGTGCTTAGCACAAAGAGGTTACAGTCCATGACTATGGCTCCCAGCAATGCTTCTTAAACACTGTCAATTTGGTTTCTCAAATAAAGTCAGCAAGAAAATACTAAAATCCTTTTGAAATACCATTTTTTCATATAATTCTCTCATAAAAACATTTTTGTAAAGTCTTGCACTTTTTTTTTGTTGGTACAAGCTATAGACGAAGCACAGATAGTAATTTTAAGCTTATTAGCAAAATTACCTAACCTCACACTATGACCATTTCTTGCTGTACTTAAACTGCACAGATGTTGAGCAGAGGCCATACCTTTTTTCAGAAACTTTTGCCATCATTTTTAATACAAGCATAGTTAGTCAAAGTTCTAATGTATTTTAAAATAAGCCTTCATTAATGCACACGTTAATGATAGCAATAGTCTAACACATTTTAGGCTAGGAAACCCCATAGTCAAAGCTATTTTAAAAGCTAAAGCCCTTCCTTTTGTTTAAGGAGAAACAGAAGTCCACCGGGGGAGTAGGCCTTCCTTCAAATAGCCAGAGAAAACGCATAATAAACCTACACTTTTCATCTTGCGGAAAGAAGCTGAAATATACAGCATAACTCAGAAAAAACACAGCATAGTTCAGGATGAAGTATTTACTGTACCATATTATTCACGGAAAGAGTTCCCTGTAGCAGTTACAAAACAAACTACAAGATATTGAACTTAAGAAAATATAAAACATGGTCAAAGAAATAGTAAAGCAAGGAAGACATAAAATTGGATGTAGTAAAGAAAAAGAAATATAAGCAAATATAAGGAATGGTTATAACAGGACAAGAATTTAAACTTAGGTTCTTCAAATTTTCCCAGACATTCATGGCTTGCAGTGCCCATAGCAGATACATGAGTAAGCACGTAGTGCTGCTCTCAAAGAGGCAGATACGGAGATAAAATACAGAGGGTAACAGTATCCCACTCCGGAGCAAACCACACAATTCTCCTTGGGCACAGAAGCAATAGCTCCCATGTTAAAATGTTCAGTTCCTTCAGGGTTGCTTTTATAGAATCATTCCCAAGATGAAAGACAATTTCACATCACCTCAAAGAAGAAAGTTATTTAGCTATGGAAAACTCAGGTATAGCAATATGGCTTGTCTAAGGCAACAAGAGAAACTTGTGCAGCTGGGGACAGAGTGTGGATTCTCTTTACTCCTAAGTTTTGCAGGAAGACGAGAATCCAATGATAACACGGTCTTCATAGCTCAGACCTCCTTAAGCAAAACAAAATGAAACTCCAGTTTTAAACCTTGAAAAGAAGCCACACTAAAAGGCAATAAAATCACTCCAGCTAATACAGTGAAGAAAAATCCAGCGTTCCAGTAATTCAGAATGAATTCTGTTCTCTTGATATTCTCAACCAACGGATGTTTTAAGAGCATTTTCTGCAGAAAAGCAGTCCTGACAGATAGTTTTTGACTGACTGTCAAGAAAAAGAAAACAGAGCAATTTATATTAGAAAACTGTCGTGGTTTAACCTCAGCCGGCAACTAAGCACCACCCAGCCTCTCGCTCACTCCCCCCTGGTGGGATCGGGGAGAGCATCGGAAGGGTAGAAGTGAGAAAACTCGTGGGTTGAGATAAAGACAGTTTAATAGGTAAAGCAAAAGCTGTGCACGCAAGCAAAGCAAAACAAGGAATTCACTCACTGCTTCCCATGGGCAGGCAGGTGTTCAGCCATTTCCAGGAAAGCAGGGCTCCATCACGCGTAACGGTTACTTGGGAAGACAAACACCATCACTCTGAACGTCCCCCCCTTCCTTCTTCTTCCCCCAGCTTTATATACTGAGCATGACGTCACATGGTATGGAATATCCCTTTGACCAGTTTGGGTCAGCTGTCCTGGCTGTGCCCCCTCCCAGCTTCTTGGGCCCCTCCAGCCTTCTCAGTCGGTAGAGCATGGAAAGCTGAAAAGTCCTTGGCTAGTGTAAGCATTACCTAGCAACAACTAAAACATCGGTGTGTTATCAACTTTGTTCTCCTCCTAAATCCAAAACACAGCACTGTACCAGCTACTAGGAAGGAAATTAACTCTATCCCTGCCGAAACCAGGACAAAAACCATAAGAATCAGTTTTCAGGTACAGATAAAAAGTTTACAAACTTTTCAAGGAAAGCTTTAAAATGTGCTGATAATAGAACTAGAAGTATTAAAATGCCTATTTGATTTTCCACTGATTCATCCCTGAATGGACACTGGCTCACAGGATTAAAACCGTTTTCACAGTTATAACTAGAGGATTCAAATTTTAATCTGGGACTCATAAAACACTTTCAGTAGGCACTATATGGTTAGATGGATGAAGGTCAAACATATATATAAATTTCCCACTCTCCAAGTCAGACTTCTGAGAAAAACCATACAGACCAAAATAAGTACATGCAATTCCCAGCAGCCAAGAGAATTATTTCTGAAAGCATTCTATCATTTTCCTAAATTTGATTTCCACTAAATCAGAGCCGAACTGACCAAACTGTCCAACTGAACACTGTTTGAATTAATCCATGAAAAAGGTCTGGACTCACAATATCCACAGTGTCCAGAAAATAAAATCAGTAACAATCTGTGCCTAACATCTCAAACTGCAGCACTCATTTGAGGAAGGACTAAGCAGTAGCATGAAGAGAATGGGAAGAATCCTCCCTACAGCACCAGAGTACCTTAGCCGTTATTTTGATGTTGAAGGAACAAGGTAATTAGCACATCTCTGTCACTAGGTATAAGCATCAGAAGATTTGCAAAATAACCAGTCCACTAAACTTGTGTCCACATTTATCCCTTGATAAATAGAAAAAGCTGGGCTCTTCAGGATCGTTTCTCTCAGAAACACAAGACTGACACTGTCTCCTTTTCATGGAAGAAGACGGTCATCTGTCTACATCTTGAAGAAAAAGTAGATCCTCATAAATTCCTGAAAGGAGTGGTACTTGTAATTAAAGGCAGGTTAGAAACTGTATAAAAATATTTAAGTGATTACCTCTCCTATAAAGACAACCATAACACAATCCAGTTTTTCTTCAGGGGACAGCTTATCAATAAGGGAGTGGAGAGTTTCTGTAAGGTAAGACTTGACTTTTCTTTTCACTGTAGGTATTCCCATTACAATGGAAACTGAAATCAAACAAACCAGAAATGTACTTTCAGTGATTTCATACACAAGACAGAAAACAAAAATCTTATCTCGTAATAAAGCATTAAGAAATGCAAAGACTTAAAAGATGGAGATAACAGTAATTAAAAATAGTTTAAAAATACACTACCCATCATCAGAAGCATGATTAACATAATCATCACCAACACTCAGAGCAAACACAGCAAACAAAAAAAATCAGTAATCCTAGACATGCCAGACTATTGCATAGGTAATAATCAACAACCATGGTATTAATCAGATAAGGTGCACCAAGACTTACAGAGTGATTAAACTCCCAAACTTAGTTTTATTTTCAAATTGGCATAACCATTCTTCACAACTCAAGTATTTAACTTCTCAGAAGTCGTCTTTTAAAAATGACACTGCTGAAAAAACCTCTATTCCTTTCCTTGCACCTGATTTGGGTTCTTCTAGAAAAACAAGTCCAGGTCATCAGGATTGCCCAGAAATTCCTCACTGAAATCTGTTATCCCTGTTAAAAGCACCTCAAATGCAAAGCAATCTGGCCCCAGCTACAACGCTATTATCATTATCTTTCAGCTGGCCATTTGACTCCCGTGTTCCTTAACTTTCCCATAGTCTTTCTTCTGCACCCCACCCCGTACCCAGGGCTGGCTACCTACTAGGAACACAGCAGACAGCAGCAGGAACACAGTAAAAGGATAAAGCAGACTTCATGAAGTCAGCACCAGCATTCCAAGCCATCTGTGTGAAATGATTTACCACATCATAAATATATAAAATCAAACAACTATTAAAAAATGTTGTTTATCCTTCCTTATAGAGCCTGCTTTGCCTAGCAACTACACATTAATAAGCTCTGAATTTTTAAAACAAACATTCAAAAAGCACAGTGACCAGGAAAGGGGAAGATAGGAAAATAATTTTAACTCAGAATTTCCTCCCTCTTTTTAATTAAATAAACCTGATTCCAATTTCTATTTTGTAATTTCAAACATCTGTCATATATTCCCAGTGGGATATAATACAGGCTTCACTTGAAACAATAAAAGAATATGAGCCTTTTCCTTCCTGAATAACGACATTGAAATAAATGGTGGTTATTGTCAAAAAAATAACCCTATGGCTTGAGCCTGCATATTTGTCACACAAGCATGTCTTCTGTTAAAAGAAGGAGCTATCAAATTTGGTGAAGTACTGAAAAAAATACAGGCCAGGAGTAACTAATGCTTCTTTCAAAAGCAAGGAGGGGAAGAAAATTAAAAAAGAAAGGCCTAGTGGACAGTAACACGAGCCATTCAAGTCAGATGGCACACAGAGAAATAAGGATTCACTGGTGAGGCCTTCAAGCTTAGAGACACACACACACACACACACACACGCTTTGAGGTATATCAGTTTGGTTGGGCTTCATGATATTTATTTTCTAGAGCTCCAAGAGTGGGATTCCATGGAGCTATCCTAATGACCAAAGCTCAGAATTTGTGAGGATTAGGGAAAAAAAAGAGGCTCAACAGTATTGCACCACAACACTGATTTTCCCCCCCTCCAATGAATGTCCACATTTTATTGATGCAATTATATCTGATTATCCTAGTTCTCCCAACTCTAAGTTATACACTGAAATATATTGTTCAAAAAATCAGAAACATCAAATCTAAAATAATTATATCCATGCATGATTGCCCCACAAATCTGAAAAGCCAAAGGGATATGTCCATTAGCAGTTCAGAATCTGTTGTTCAGAATCTTGAACTTTGTTCCCTTTTACTTAGTTACAAAAAATTCATGCAAACTAAATGCTTCTTAATGTGTACCCTAACATGGGATGGGGTGTGATTGAGATTATGCAGAAAAGAGCAAAGCTGAAACCAAACTCCTTTCATCTTGGATTTCGTGCAAATTCCAAGAGATATCAATATCACACAAGTTAAATGAGATGTCCTTGATCTACCAAGTAATGCAGTAAATTATATTACTAAAACTAGACAGTCCTCCAGATATAAAACATAAAATAAACATCATATCAGCATACCTCCTGTCCTTCCAAGGCCAACCTGCACAGAAGGTTGAAGGCTTCCTTCATTTTTCAACAAATGAGGCAAATGGTAATAGATATTTGGCACTTGAAGAGATTTTCTACTTGTTAGCTCTTTTAACAATTTCAGCGTCTCATCTGCAAACATACATGAAATCAGTAATGCAGAAAACAAACAATATGAAGTTTTATGCAGTGGTAAATAATACAAAATTCCAAGCTTGGTCCTAACTGAAAAACAGAACAAATTATGCATTTTACTGAGGCATTATATCTTGTGTACAAAGGAAGTCTTTTCTCATTTTAATTTTTAAATAAACTATGGCCAAGATTATTTTCCACTCGGTAACCTTGCTACAGATATAGTTAATACTTACCTGATCACACAAGACTTGGTGTGTAGTCACAGAAGTAAAAAACGCTCCATTTATTTAGGGTGTTTTGGTTTGTTTTGTTTTTCCCAATGAATCAAAATGGGAGGCTTATTTACCTAGATTATTTTTTACTTGCACTTACAGAGCTCATCACCATGTAGTGATGCCACTGCAAATAACTTTTCAAAGCTACAAATACATACTGGAACACACTGCAGATACAGATACAAAACAAACATAGCATAAAATATACAGTTAAGATTTTTAGTATTTCTGCAATAAAATGAATGCTAACATGAATTTAATTTAGTCCATTAGAGTACTTAAAATAATTCTTGCTCTTTCTAGAATAATTGCCTCTCCGGATGTCCAGGTGGCTCTCAAAGTTGCAAGTAACAGTTTTTAAATTCCCCTGCTGTGCGTGTTGATTTTCTTACATCAAGTGTGAAAACAACTCTTATTTCAAATGACAAACATGATAGCATATGGACCTTTAAAAACTTATGGGCTTTACAATATCAAGTTAAGTAAAAAACTGTACTCATGGTTTCCAAGAAAAAACTGAATTGTGCAGAAGTGAGAAAAGTAATGCCATAAATGTCATTCCTCTCAGATTCTGAGTGTAGTTTCCACAAAGCTGGAACAGTTTTGTTGTGAGTTTTGTTTTGGTTTTTTCTAAATATTTATTTTCAGGTGAAACTAAATTCCTCACCACTTATAATCTTGAAAAAATGCTTTGTAATAGATGCCATAAGTAGAGATGCTAATTTTGATAGATTCCAATACAGGTACATTTTACTTTTCCTGCTAACATTTCCTTTAGCTTCAACTGCAAAAGCTGGACTAAAAATTCTCTCAAAATATGACAACTCTTTGTATGAATGAATAATGTTTTACATAAAACAATCTGGAATTCTTTCAGCTTCAAAGATAGAAAATACTTCATAGTATTATGCATACTTAAGTAGATTAAACTTAATAAAATCTATCGAATACTAAGTTCTGAGCACAAACGCTCAGGAATTCAGACTTCAGCTGACTTCCCATCATGGCTCCCCATGGAAAAAAGAGGATGTCCCAGTTGGGATCCAGACATGGTAGAAAGTTCAAAAAGAGGATCAGTAACTTCAGCTGCATCAGAAGAGAGTAACTCCCTGTGACTACATTGTCTATAAGCCAGCTAACTCATTTTTAGAAATAACTGTGGTAATAACTTAATCATAAATCCAGTATCAAACTTACATGACTTCCTCTATTTTTGTTCGCTTTAACAGCAAAAACATACACACAGAAGAGGAAGACAAGAGTCACAGACTATGTTAAATGTAACCTTTATCTATACCATTCCTGGAGATCCAGGGAACTATGGAGATCAGGTTGGATAGGCCATTAGTATCAGACAGAGCAATTCATCCTTAATATCAGCACTGAGGGCCTATAATTATAACCTTCCCCCCCAAAGAAATTCTGTAGAAGATAGTAACTCGTAGCACAAATGCAAGTAGATAAGAGATTCAAAAAGCTTGATCCAGTTTTTTGATTTGCAAAAATCTTTGGGTTTATATTCCTCATTAGGCCAATACTCACCAGAAAGTTTATATTTATTTGTTATTCATTTTCCATCTAGAATAGTCAGAGTGACTAAAGCAATAATAGTGTGATTTTAAAAGTTAACTTGAAAACTGGTGAGTAGTGCGAAGGCATTCTCTAATATTGCCAAACACAGCTCTCAGTAAACTTGAGCATCAGCCTCCAAAATGGGTAAAAACTTATGGAAGACTTTACCAGTTCAACAATTAATGACTAGTTATTAAAAAGGACATTATCTGTACATTTTACAAATCATAACCAATACCTTAGATAGCCTGTATGTTTTTACATCTTCCAGCTGACTTTTAAACATATTTTAATTGCTTCAAGTTCATCTATTTCTTAAACACTGTTTGCTCACCTTTCCCCTCAAGCTCTATTTAAAAAGTGATGTAAATTATTGTCAAAATATATTCAGTATGTTAAATAAGTAACCAGAAGTTCCAAACTTTTGGAGCTAGGCATGGAGTAAGTATTCAGTCCCTAAAGTCATAAGAATGAAGAGTGGGTGGATCATTAAGAATAGAAATTGGAAATCTGCACTGCTGAACAGTTTCATTCGGCTTTCTTGGTATTAATTTTTTATTCTATATTAATAAGAAGAGATATTAGTAGTGCAGAGTTATAAAACATAGCTCAATCACAGTATGTACCTGAAAAATTATTCATTGCATTCTTACTCCCATTTGTTTCTGCTACTGCACGCCTGAACTGCTCCAAGATAGCGTTCAGCTCAGAAGAGCGCTGCAGAGTGCGATGCTCAGCTATACGAAGACGTTCCTTCAAAGCATGAAATTCCCGTTGATATGCAATCAACTTTTCTAGAGAGAAAAAAAGATGATCCTGGTTATTTTTGGAAACAAACACCTACAGACAGATCCAACAAGGGTCAGGGACTGCTCAGCTATGCAGCACCTGAAATTCCACCAAGAAGAGGGCACAGCCCAGCACTATCCCGCCCGAGTTAGGCACCTTCGCGTTTACACAGCATACAGAGGGAAGAGTGAGCTGCACCAGCCAGGGATGCAAAGCAGGCATTGAGGGGGGTATGCCCCTCACTGTAGCCACAGACAGGGGCAACCTTTGAGTTCCCGTTACTCAGCACCACAAGGCAATTCTGAATCTTTTCCTGGAACAGATGCCCACAGACCCTTTCTTTTAAGAAGCAGAATAGGAGTGGTGCCTTACAAAAGCTCAGGTTATGCCTTTTGAAAGCCCCCTCTGAACACTTTGTAAGAATGAGTGGAATTTGACAATATTTCAGACATACCAATTTCAAACACAAGTTTTAACTTAACGATATTGTCAGGGCCAGCAAAAACAAAATTTTGATCAAAATCCTGCTAATGTAGATACATACATGTATTCTTTGAAAGGAGACCAAAAGGGCAACGGAAACACCAAAACTTCATTTGCTGATATGTTGCCTATGCCCTCGCCACCCAGCAAAGTAAGTATCTCTGGTTTGTACATATTTCCTCAAACCTCGTGCTCACCACCATCACTCTTCTTCAGCCAATCTACAGATATGGACTGGAGTATCTTGAGTGATTTTATACGTTATAATCAATATTCCAACCACACAGCTGTCATCCATAGACATATCTTTTTTGCTATTTACCTATCCATTCCTAGACTTTTAGTATTGCAATGGTAGGGAAGTAGAAGTTTTGCAAGCAATTTGAATCTCTTCCTGTTGCTACACTACAGTAATACATGGAGTAAAAAAGGAATTACAGTCAACTTTCCCTTGTAAATTGAAAGACATTGGAGGAAATGCAGCATTATTAACATTTATTTTCTTTTTTGTAGTTGGGATGTACTGTTCTGATTACATTTAGAAAACATAATTAGCTAAATTGCCCTCTGTTTTGAAGACAGAAAAATAAAAACATAGTTCACTACCTCTTAAAAACATTTCCCTTGCCAGCCTTATTTTCCTTTTTTCATTAAAACTAAATGGTTACTGCTTTTGTGCCAACACACCCAGAACACAGATGCTGGCCCACAATACAGTGCTAGGCACACTACACACTGACAACTGAATGCAGACGGCTATTTGAAACAGGACTTGGTGCTTTAGTCAGCAGTATTGAGAAGGCCAGGAAAATTTTCTGGAGTTGCTGGCATGAAGGACGTTCTTACTTGCCAATGATAACCCAAAGAAATCAAAGATTGCTTGGAACCATGTCTACTAGTTACTGTAAGGTTACAAAACATTTTAACAGCTAAATGAATATGGAATTGTATTAGTGTAGACGCCACACAAGTATGCGAATGATATCCCCTCCCCAAAATGAACGGATGATGGCAGGTTATTTCAGATAGCTGTTAATTTCTGTCTAAACAGGGAAGAACAGGTGAGCAACCAAAGAACATGCAAGGTTTTACTGGGGGCTTCCATAGCAGTGGATAGCCTCAGAAGCAGCCTGTAGCATCAGGTCTCCCTTCTTGTCTTTCTTCACGGTACAAGATAGCAGACAAACTTTGGTACTTCTGTTCTTCCTACTTTGAAAAGGCTAAACTCATCTGTGGCAGTCTGTATTTCTCCTGGGAAAATGGTGAGAACCCTATGGAACCTGTGGTTCAGACTCCAGCACCTCAAGTAGGATGAATTCAGGTCTTCCTCTCTTGACTTAGACAAATTCTTGGCAGAGACCATTTCTCTTCCTGCACTTACTAAAAGATATCAGCACATCAGGCACAGTGCTCCAATGATTCTGGTGCTCTAAGGAACAGCAGGGTCTTAGAGGGAACAATTTACCTAGGAATATGCCAAACAGTGGAGAACCGCAGTAGTTCCCCTGTCACCTGCACCTAGCAAACTCCATAATGCAAAATCAGAAATATCTTATTACTAAACTCAGTTGTAAACAGAGATTAAGATTTTTCTACCTCCCTAAGTCAGGTAGGCAGTTTTATCACATGAAGAAATGAAAACTGTAGTTTCGTGTTAAGAACTACCAACAAAAATCCCTTACTGAGGAGATGACACTTTCAGAGGAGGTGACTGTTATAACACCTTTAATTTACAATTAATATAATATGTCAAAAATAAAAAAGTAATTAGTTAATTTCTTTTTAAAGAAATTTAAAATTATATATGTAGAAGTAAACTTTTATTTTTATAACTTATCATAGCAGTTTTTGAGCAAAGAACATAGGACCCCAACTGTGGCACTGTAAAATAGAATCACAGAATCATAGAATCACTCCCATCTACAAGAAGGGCTTAAAGGAGGATCCAGTAAATTATAGGCCCATCAGTCTTACTTCAGTCCCTGGAAAAGTTATGGAATGAATCCTCCTGGGGGCTATCACAAGTCAAATGAAACACGTGATTGGGAAAAGCCAGCACGGATTCACCAAGGCCAAATCGTGCTTGACAAACATGATCACCTACTACAACAAAGTAACCTACTCAGCTGATGCGGGGTGAGCAGTGGACATTGTCTACCTGGATTTCTCCAAGGCTTTCAACACGGTTTCCCACAGCCTCCTCCTAGAGAAACTGATGCGTTACGGTCTAGACAAGTGGTCTGTCCGGTGGGTGGGGAACTGGCTGACAGGCCGCACCCAGAGGGTGGTGGTAAATAGCTCCTTTTCAAACTGGCAACCTGTCACAATTGGGGTCCCCCAGGGATCAATATGGGGCCCAACGCTGTTTAGTATCTTCATAAGTGACCTGGGTGACGGGATCAAGTGTACCCTGATGAAGTTTGCCGATGATACCAAACTGAGTGGGGAAGCAGACACTGGAAGGGAGAGCCACCCTGCAGGAAGACCTGGATAGGCTGGAAGAGTGGGCTAGCAAGAACCTTATCAAGTTCAGCAAAGACAAATGTAAGGTCTTACACCTAGGAAAACATAAGCCAGGAGTGCAGCACAGGCTGGGATCTACCCAGCTGGGGAGCAGCTCTGTGGAAAGGGACCTGGGGGTCCTGGTGGA